AATGTCTTCCTGTATATAACCATTTTGCTATATTTGGTATTCAGTTCATTTAAGGTACTCGTCACAGATCCTTACATGAACCCTTTCTAGAAATGTTCAGCAAGAGCTTCATGTAAGGAATAAACTGTACTCTGCACAAGAACTTAACTTTCCACGTTGTAAATATTTTACCAATGTACTTCAACAAACATTGATCACATAAGAGATAGTGTAAACTATGAGGAAGTCACACAAAATACAGTGAATACTACCCAGAAAAAGCACTAAAACTTCTTTAGGATACCGCTCATTTATTAAACATCTGATAAAAATGGATTTTTGCCTTACCTGTAAATCATTTTCTTTGAGTACATTACAGGTCAGTATTCATATGAGGGTTATGCTTTGCTGGCAAAACAAAGCAGTAAAGACAGCCCAGTATAAACCCACCCACTCCAAGCAAGCAATAATAGGAAGGGACCCTTGGAAAGTGGAAAGACCCAAGTCCTGTAAGGAACTCCAAGATAAAGATTTTACAAGACAAAAATCTTATTTTCTTAATGGTACATTACAGAACACAGTACAATCTTCAGGAACACAAGTACATTCAAAAGCAGTCAAAATACACAATGGACAACACAGAAACAAGGACTAACTGGCCCACCATAGGCTGCTTTCATACTGCGTTTTTAAAGCATTTTGGTGTTTAAACAAAAAATTTATATCTATGTATGTATCTACTATAGGAGACCAGATATAGTGAATGCAGGGTCCTGGGTTTAGTAACACTTTAAAATTAATTCACTGACAATGTCATAACAGTCAATTCTGGTCAATATGGTAAATTTTGGGTAAACTAGTTTTCTGCCATTTCACTGGTGAAATGTTAAGCTTTCATGTGTTTGGTATCCATTTACTTAATGCAACAAGATCTTTTACATTTAAAAAAAAAAAGTGGGTATTCTATTGTGGTTTTGTGCACTATAATTGTATTGTAATTTTTCCTGAAAATATAGATTTGATTAACAGTTGCGCAAATATAGTGTGACCTAAAAAATTGCAACAGCCACCATCCTATGCTTTGCTTTCAGAAAATACACTGCTCAAAAGAATTAAAGGAACACTTTTTAGAGTATAGCATCAAGTCATTTAAACTCCTGGGATACTGATCTGGTCAGTTAAGTAGCAGAGGGGGTTGGTAAACAATTTCAGCTGCTTTGGTGTTAATGAAATTAACAACAGGCACACTGGATGGGCAACAATGGGACGACCCCCGAAACAGGAATGGTTTTAATGGTGGAGGCCAGTGACATTTTATTCCCTACTCATCTTTTCTGTTTTTCACTAGTTTTACATTTGGCTAGGGTCAGTGTCACTACTGGTAGCATGAGGCGATACCTGGACCCTACAGAGGTTGCAGAGGCAGTCCAACTCCTCCAGGATGGCACATCAATATGTGCCATTGCCAGCTTTGCTGTGTCTCCCAGCACAGTCTCAAGAGCTTAGAGGAGATTCCAGGAGACAGGCAGTTACTCTAGGAGAGCTTGACAAGGCCATAGAAGGTCCTTAAAGCATCAGCGGAACTGGTATCTGCTCCTTTGTGCAAGGAGGAAAAAGGATGAGCACTGCCAGAGCCCTACAAAATGACCTCCAGCAGGTCACTGGTGTGAATGTCTCTGACCAAACAATCAGCAACGGACTTCATGAGGGTGGCCTGAGGGCCTGATATCCTCTAGTGGCCCTGTGCTCACTGAACGGCATCAAAGAGCTTGATTGGCATTTACTATTGAACACCAGAATTGGCAGGTCCGCCACAGACGCCCTGTGCTTTTCCCAGATGAGAGCAGGTTCACCCTGAGCACATGTGACAGACGTGAAAGGGTCTTGAGAAGTCGTGGAGAACGTTATGCTGCTTGTAACACTGTTACTGTTTTGGTGGTGGGTCAATGATGGTCTGGGAAGGCATATCCATGGAGGGACGGACAAACCTCTACAGGCTAGACCAGGGGTGGGCAAACTTTTTGACTTGAGGGCCGCAATGGGTTCATATATTGGACCCGGGGGCCGGACCAAGAGTAGATGAATGATGTGTATGTGTCATCCATAGTAAGTATAGTAATATTCCCCCATAGTAAGCATAGTAATTAATCCCCCATAGTAATTAATCCCCCATATAGTAATTAATCCCCCATATAGTAATTCATCCCCCATAGTAATTCATCCCCCATAGTAATTCATCCCCCATATAGTAATTCATCCCCCATATAGTAATTCGTCCCCCATATAGTAATTCGTCCCCCATATAGTAATTCGTCCCCCATAGTAATTCATCCCCCCTATAGTAATTCATCCCCCATAGTAATTCATCCCCCATAGTAATTCATCCCCCATATAGTAATTCATCCCCCACATAGTAATTCATCCCCCATATAGTAATTCATCCCCCATATAGTAAGTCCCCCATATAGTAATTCATTCCCCATATAGTAAGTCCTCCATATAGTAATTCATTCCCCATATAGTAAGTCCCCCATATAGTAATTCATTCCCCATATAGTAAGTCCTCCATATAGTAATTCATTCCCCATATAGTAAGTCCTCCATATAGTAATTCATTCCCCATATAGTAAGTCCTCCATATAGTAATTCATTCCCCATATAGTAAGTCCCCCATATAGTAATTCATTCCCCATATAGTAAGTCCTCCATATAGTAATTCATTCCCCATATAGTAAGTCCCCCATATAGTAATTCATTCCCCATATAGTAAGTCCCCCATATAGTAATTCATTCCCCATATAGTAAGTCCTCCATATAGTAATTCATTCCCCATATAGTAAGTCCCCCATATAGTAATTCATCCCCCATATAGTAAGTCCCCCCCCTGTGTCAATTCACTTACCTTTGGTCCGCGCGTTCCTCTCGTATTCCCGCGCCGTTCTGGTCTTCAGGGAGGACTGTGAGAGGAGTTCGTCACGCTGCCCCGCCTACATCCTGACAGCTGCAGAGTCCTGACGTCCGAGAGGAGGGAGGGGGGCGGCCATCCGAGAGGGGGGGCGGCCATCCGAGAGGAGAGGAGGGGAGGGGAGAGGAGGAGAGGAGGGAGGGGGGAGAGGAGGAGAGGAGGGAGGGGGCGGGCGCCCGGCACACAGGAGAGCCGCATCTAAATTTGTAAAGAGCCGCGGCTTGCCGACCACTGGCCTTGCGGGAGCCTAGCTCCGCGGGCCGGATTAAAAGGTCCGCCGGGCCGTATACGGCCCGCGGGCCGTAGTTTGCCCATTGCTGGGCTAGACAATGGCACCCTGATTGCCATTAGGTATTGGGATGAAATCCTTGGACCCATTGTCAGAACCTACGCTGCTGCAGTGGATCCTGGGCTCCTCCTGGTGCACGACAATGCCCAGCCTCATGTGGCTAGAGTATACAGGCAGTTCCTGGAGGATGAAGGAATTTGATACCACTGAATGGGACCCCAAGCTCGCCTGACCTAAATCCAATGGATACCTCTGTGGTATCAGGTTTTGGTCCATCCAATGCCGCCAGGTTGCACCTCAGACTGTCCAGAAGCTCAGTGATGCCCTGGTCCAGATCTGGGAAAAAATACCCTAGGACACCATCTGTTGTCTCATTAGGAGCATTCCCCTGATGCTGTCAGGCATGCATACAAGCATGTGGGGGCCATGCAAACTACTGAGTTGCTGCAATGAAATTTCAGCAAAATGGACTAGCCTGCTGCATCATTTTTTCACTTTGATTTTGCAGCGTGTCTTTGAATTCAGTCCTCTGTAGGTTGATAATTTTCATCAAATGATGGGGCATCCTTACATTCCTAACACATTACCCAGTCCATATCAGTATAGATATCCAGCATGATATCTTTCCCCATGAAGATCTAATGTGTTTTTAAAGTGTTCCTTTAATTTTTTGAGCAGTGTATGTAATTGTTTGAGGGTGTAAAGTAATTTTCTATCAAAACATGCAGATTTTAACATGTGTTTGAAAAACAGAAAAAAAACTGCTGTGAGCTTGAAGGGAGTTTACAATTAGCACACTGGTGAAGTGGCTGCTGAAAGTGTAGTTTTACAAGTTTTGGGAACAATACACTAGTCATTTTAATAAGTAATAGCAAAACTTTATGAAAAAACATCAATATTTCAGACTTGACCTGATTTGCACACAGGGTGCATTATTTTAACATGTAATGGACTGTAAAATGTTTTTGTTTAATCACAAAAAATTTGGTTTGCTTCTAAGCCATACTGAAGTTATGTTATATGGTCGGTTGAAATGCACATAAAGCCCAGCAGAGTAGTTTAAAGCATGGTAGGCCAGCTTTTAAGGTAGAAGTCAATGTCTAAAATTACATTCCTATGCGGATGAAGTCTCTATATTCATTTATACTTATCAGTTTTTTTTTTTTTTTTTAGTAAAGATAGAAATGTTACAGCTAAGTGCAGCACTACAGCTCTGGGTTGACCAATGCAGAATGACCACCACTCTTAATCAAAAGTGATTCTGAAGCTGGCTATAAACTGTTCGGATCTCGGCCAGTTCTGCAGGGACCAGCTGAAGATTCGAGACATGTATGGACAAGCTGAATGTTACAAAAGTTGATTGATCGATACAAGCAGCCTGACAAATTATATTATAGCTGCTAGCAGTAATTACTATTTTCTCCTGGCAGGGACAGCTCCCTCCCTCACCCCCCCACTGGAAAACCACAATGGCTCCACAGGAGGGATTCCCCCATCAACCCTGACTGTGCTGATGGGGGAAAATTGAGTGATTTTGGAGTGATGGGGAATCGCTCCATCTATGGCCAGCTTTAGACACAGAAAGCATGATCAGAAGCAGCAGGAATAATTGACAGGTTAATGTTGAAGACCATTGCATATTGAGAATCGCTGCTCTAGAGTGGGTTTTTTTTCTATTATGTTGGAGCTAGTTATTGAATTTATGAGATAACAAACATTAATATAAATTAGACAGCATGTGCACTGAAAACAGTTAAATGGTCTTACCTTGCAAACCGGGCACTGCCAGTGATTACTGCTATCCCTGAGTTTCATATCGTCAGGTAAACATTTAGGATGGTACACACGAAAACATTGGTCACATATCATCACCTCCCCAGGTAAATGACATTCAAAACAGTACCAGTCATGAGTTTCTGTCTCCCAGTCCTAGGAGAAACACAATGTTATTTGGAGACATGGCTGATTCACTAGGTCTACTTAAGGGGTTAAGCAGAAAAAATAACATTTACAGTAGACGTTAGCAATACCAGATGTGTGGCATTCATAATTAGAATTTTACCCTCTCAGGGGGGAAAGAGCCTGCAATGTGTTGCTTTTGCAATTCTGGACAACAATGGCAATCACTGCTCAAAATACAGGTCTGTTTTATTTCCACAACTTGTATGAGCACTTGGAGAATGCAAATATCACATTTAGGGAAAGGAATATCAGTTTATTAAAAAGTAAACTATAAAAACCTGAAGTTTGTAAAAAGTAGAAGAAAACAAATTATGTTGTTAGAGGACTGTCTTTTTTTTTTTATAACACACCTGTTGTGTAGACTAAGGGCCAAGCCTACCCTTTCAACCAATGCTAGACACCATCGAGTGGCTAAAATGACAATTAACTTTAGCAATGCTTTGCTGCGGTCTCCAAAACATCACCATGATTAGACAACACCTAATATTAACTGTACATTTTATGGTATGTTTCTCACCCCGGAGCCTGCCGACTGGTCAATCAAACCCCAAGAGCTGCACTGTGGGGTAGCAGAGGGCAAGTCATGTAGCAGGATTTTGACAGAGCACATATGATAAAGTAAGTTTAGAGACTGGAGGGTGTCTAGCACACAGTGGCATAGTAGCTTTGGCTTTACTAAAAGAAAAAAAACTTTGATTTAAGATAATGAAATGCAGGGGAGTGATTGTACTTTAGAGTGGTCTTATGTTCAAAAAGTGAAGATTTAATGTCTTATAAGGAGTATATAAAACAGGGTGTATAAAAGAGGGTGGCCAAGTAGTGCCCTGACAAATCTATGCCTTGAATTCCTCCTGATAGACTGTCGTGTACTTCCTGACGTGAGACATTGCCTAGGCACTCCTGTAGCTTCATAGCTACATTTCTTCTGGGTGAGATTATCTAAGTCAGATCCCACCCATTCCTGCCTCTAATGACTGCTGTTGGTAGATTTTGAGTGTCTGCCTGAACACAAGCAGCCTCAATCTTTAGTGTTCATAGCTTCTAAATCAGATCCCTCCCATTCCTTTCTGTGATGATTGCTATTGGAGATCCAGAGTGCCTGTCTGAGCACTTAAATGGGAATTGGTAGTGTCACCCTTTGTTGCTCATCACTTCTCTGAGGGCCTGCAGAAGGAGAAGTGCTATGTGAAGACTTACAGTGCAATGACCTCCCTGTACCTACTTGAGGCATTTTGTGGATGTTTTTTCCACCTTTCCTGCTGCTTCTAGATCAGTTTCCCTTATCATGCATTTCCCATCAGATCATCAGTCATAGGGGTGCAGTTTTGGCATGAGGAAGCAAAGCCCTGTCTCTACTACGAGGGTCACCTCTGCACAGAGACGCAATGTGAAACAAGGCATGTCAGTAATGAGGAAAGGATCACACAGTCAACGGTTCTGGTGACTGGTCCTTTGCCCAACATTTTTAGGCATGGCTTCCACATTACAGATCTTTTTTTACCTGGTTGCTTGACTTTGAGACAAATAACAGTACTGGAGAGAAGCAGCTGAGCTACACTCCGTAACCTTATTGTTCATGAAGTGCTTGTTGAGGCAGCTGTGTAAGGCAGACCATACATTATTCTTTTCGTTCAACTAACCATTTATAAAAATAATGGACGGGAGAATCAGTCCCACTGTGCTGCTGTATTCGGACAGTGGGGAAACTTCCCCGCCATCAGGACACACTGATCAGTGATGCTGGCTATAGCCACCAGCACTGATCATTTGGGGAACACCTGACAGGCTTTTTGTATAGAAGCCGATTGGTAGATCGACTTCTCTACAACCAGCCTGCCCATACATAGATCCAACTTCGTCCAGTCCCTGCTGAACCGGCTGAATTCCAATCTATGTATGGCCGCCTTAGAGTAAGGTACTTACAATGGGGCTTTCTGTAGATGCTCCTTTTCTTCTTTTGAAACTACTCCCGTCTATAGACCCTGCACCTGATGACACCACTCGTGTAATGAAATATTTAGAAAAGCAGCAGTGGGCAGGATATGTTCCCAATTTGATCAAAGTCCTTACAGGCACCAGTGAGGGTAGCAAGGATAGATGAGGTGTCTAAGCTCAGTCGCAGGTGTATGTGCTCTGCTGATTCTAATTAGGCTAAAGTTACATACGTTTTACTGATTTGTCACATTGAACTGTGCCAATTAATCCATAGTGAAACTTTGGATTTTAGGTAATTCAGCTTTAATAAGCTACACCCTTTTTCCAAGGACCACCACCCACCAAAATTAAAATATTAGTTAGGGTGGCTAGACAAATAAAAACTCTTTCCCATAACATGCCATAATGGCACATAAAAAAAACCCAGAAACAATACACATGCAACTCATTACAAGCTCTACCTCTTCTGAAAGGTTACAGAATGCTGCAGTCTACAGTCTAGATGTTCTTAGGACCCTACTGTTATATTAGTGAGGGAATTAACTTGGAGCCAATTTTAGGGTTTCTTTCCTGCTAATTACCCCAAAGAGATCTTGTTCCCCACAATTTGGTAGTCTACTTATTTATGGACATTGTAGCCCCAATACTCCAACTATGGAAATGACAAAGAAATTGTTGGTTTACATACTTGTAAAGCTTGATATCAAAGCACTTTAACAAACCTCAGGTGAATTCACTGATTTTCCCTCTCTTCCGTGAATTTGGTGATGTTTCATCTGCAATAATTTACAAGAGTGTTGTGCTAAACAGAACTGCCATATTCTAGAGGGATTGCAAAATAATTAGAGGCAAAAAATATAACAGTAGTTAAAAGAAACTCTGTCAATGAGGAAGCCCTCTGTTTTGACAATTAGCTGTTCACAAACTCCAAGGTCTTCTGCTTTTCAACAAACAAATTTCAGGATGGCACTAAATACAGGTTTTATTTCTTCACCAAGCAGAGCCTTGCAATAGGAGTCTGCTACAGCACTAGCATCTACATTTATATTTAAACAATAAAAGGGAAAGGAAATGAGCAGTAAACCTGCACACTATCTGTAGGTAATTGGGATTTATGCCTAAAACTGCAATGACACTTTATAAGAGTTTCACAGTACAGAATTTAAATAACCAGCAACTAGACAAACACACCAAGAAGTTGTTAGGGCATACAATAAGAACATTGATCACAGACATCAGACAGCTGTCAAACATTCCAAAGGGGTCATAATGTTAAAAGCAAACAAAATCTTTTGGAACAACATTCAAATGTTCTGGGAATTTTCATACGAATTTTTGAAGACTTTTCTGAAGAATTTTCATTTGAAATTCTATCCACCTATGGCCAGCTTTAGTGATTAGTCTAGTATAGTGGTACTGAACTCTGGTCCCCAAAGTTCACCAACAGTGCATGTTCTCCACACTATCAAATAAGCACAAAGCTGCCTTGTATATGTAAAACGCTAACAATTTCTCTTAAATATACCACTGAAAGTGTTTTGTTATATCTGCTCAACAAGTGCACAACATTGTACATGCTAATATGGTCATAACTTCAGAGCTGTCCTGTGTACACTTCCTGTGTTAGCTGAATGAGCCTAATTAGCCCTCCTAGCTCTTATGCACACAACAGAACGATTAGGTAATGAAGAGAGGGGGAGTTAAAGTGAAAGTAAACTCCCACTGGACACTTGTACATGCAAGTTTATATTAAATCTTACCTGTAGGTACAAGGAACATCTTCTAAACATGCACTGTTTAGGAGATATTCAGTGTCCCTGCAGCCAATGATGACACCAGTGCATGCGCTCTAAAGGAACGCCATACCCGTGCCATGGCCGAGGCTGCCACATGTATGCACAGAAGTAACGTCATTGTGGCTCGGCCAATCAAGCGGACAGAGGCCACGAACCTGGAAGGAAGACCAGGTGAAGATGGAAGCCTTGTCAGCGATGACAGAGCACCACTGGAGGGCTATGTTCTAAGGGAAGTCTTTCATAATGTGCTAGTATGCAATGCACGCTAGCACGTTATGCTATTATTTTGCAGGATATTTTTTTTTTTTTTTGGAGGTTTACTATACTTTAAAAGTGATTCTAAAGCCAACATTTTTTTTAAAACAGGTTATACTTACCTGTTCTATTCAACGGTCCCTTGCCAGCGCTGTCTTTTCTTTCTCCCTGTGAGTGCCCGCATAGCAAGCCATGTGCCATTGGGGCACTAGTACGGGTGGGTGCGCTCCTGAGCTGGGCTATGTGTGTGTGTCAGTAGACACACATGGTGTAGCTCGGCCATGTCTGATGCCCCTTCCTCACAGGATTTGACTGACAGAAGCAGAAGCCCATAGCTCCGGCCTGTGCTTCCTATGAGACCAGGAAGTCAGTGGAATAGTGCTGCAGGAGGGGATGGTGCCAGATCGTGAGATGAGACAGGTAAGTGTTTAGGGGTGAGATGTGTTGAGCTAGTGGAATGTTTTATTTTTTTTTTTTCATCTTAATAAAAAGGGAATGCATATAAATCTTTTGTGGTATAACCTAAAATGTGCCTTTATTTGTAGCAATGTCCTACATATGCCTTTTTTGCTTGTCTTGATTTATGCTTTAAAGCTGAATTTTAGATATGATTTTTCTAGCACAGTTACATTGGTCCAGCTTGGACAAAAGTATTTATGCAGATATCATAGCTGAGCGATTCCGGAGGTGCAAATTACTGTAGTAGTCATGGCTACTACAGTGATAGCAGCAGTCTTCTGGGTCCAGTGCTGCTCCCTCACTAGGCACTGCCACCACGGAGCAACTTGTAAAAGGCATACAAGGAATTCACTGTGAATACAACTCTCCGTCAATGTGAATACAAGGCATTCTCCGATTGGACAAGGTGGAAATTGTGACATCACTGCTCTGCCTCTCCACCTCATCCAATCTGTGAACACCATGTATCCATTAACAAAAATACAAGGCATTTTCTGAATGGCAGCAGTGCCAAGCGAGGTATCGCCTGCGGTTACTATGCAGAAGGGCAACTGCTTAGCACTGGACCTGGAAAGTTACAGATATCACTGTAGTAGTGGTGACTACTACAGTAATTTCCAGCTTCCACGAGGATCGCTAAAGGATGAGATATGCATATTTACATTGGTCCAAGCTGGACCAAGGTAACAGTACAAGTTAAATCATACCTAAATGTCAGCTATAAGTTTGCTCATTATATGGAGCTTAGGCTGTGCTCAGATCAATGAAAATGAACAGCCAGCCATGGTTTGAAAACTTCATCCAATGCTTGAGCCACTGAACTGCAACACCCTTCTGAACATTGACCAGTACTCTAACCAGTCCTGTTGCCTAGCATAGGTCAGAACCATCACCTTCCAAAAGCCCCTGCAAAAGCATCTATCTGAATAAAGCTCCAAAGAAGCAGCCAGTATACTTATGAGGTTCAGCATTTGGCTTCCCGGACTTGATCGCTTTATAGGCATCAGGAAAGCTCCTTGAAGGTTGTTAAAAGCTTTGCAAATGCTTGTGGAATCTGACATGCTTCCCACTAGCATTTACAAACTACAAGATTAACAGACCAAATTTATCAGAATACGTATGCATTAATGTGACAGTACTACAAGTCTATGACTGATATTTCCTACAGCTAAAACAAAAAAGGTTAAACATTTTTAAAAAGGACATATAAAGCTTAATTAATGTCCTGATCAAATTTCTATTAAAAGGCTGATGAAGACCAAAAATTTTTTTTAAATCTCTTTTTCCATTTTCTTTCTGTATTCCATAGTGATAGCTGCAGTCTGAATGTGAGCAAAGAACAGTGACCGCTGCAACCTGTTTTTAATCCTCCTGTGAGCACCGCGATTGGCTGTCATGGTAATCACATGATTAGGAAGCATGCTAAAAGTTAGTGTAAACCAGTAGCTGTCAGTGACTGAGCAGGTATGCGCTTCGAGTTCTACAATGGAGCACAGAATAACATTCTCTCAGCATGGGGGACTATGCCTGAGAACGCTATTTTATGAAGCCTTACAGCAGATTTACTGCTACAGGGCAGACGTTCTGTGCAAAATCACGTATATAAACATTTTGCATTTTCGCCACAGGGGGTGCCTGCCTGCCGCTGGAGCGCTACTTCTACTGTGACTGGATACAGCAGACGTCAATCAACAGGTGCTGGCCAACCGTTGATTGCCAAGGACACTGACATAGTACAGCTCTGATTGTGGAAACAAAGCAGAGCTGTGTTCTGTCAGTGGCTATCTGCTAGGTTTTATTTAGGAAATAAAATCCAGCAAATTGCCTGGTGTAAAAAAAAAAAAAAAAAAAAAAAAAAACAAAAAAAAAAAAAAAAACAGTACACAGTGCACACAAACACACTGGCTAGGCGCACACAATTAACCCTTTGATCGCCCTAGATGTTTAAACCCTTCCCAACCAGTGTATTTCTTACAATGACAGTGAATATTTTTAGCACTGATCACTGTACTAGTGTCACTGGTTTCCACAAAGTGTCAGTATCAATGTCAGACTGATCACCACAATATCGCAGTCCAAACATAAGTCTCTGATCACTGCCATTACTAGTATTAATTTTAAAAAAAAATTCCAGTATATATCCACACCACCGTTTGTAGATGCTATAACTTTTGCGCAAACCAATCAATATACGCTTATTGGGATTTTTAACAAAAATATGTAGCAGAATACATTTTGGCCTAAGTTTATAAAGAAACTTGATTTTTAAACGGTTTTCATTGGATAGGTTTTATAGCAGAAAGTGTTTTTTTTTTTTTTTTTTTTTTAAATGTCAGTGTATTTTCATTTACAGCGCAAAAAAATTAAAAAAAAACACAGAGGTGATCAAATACTACTAAAAGAAAGCTCTATTTGTGGGCAAAAAAATTGCCTAATTTTTTTTATTGGTCAAAAAAAGTTCAAAATACACCGGTTTGCAGCGGTTTACTGAGTTTTTCCAGCGTTAGAGCGTTTTTTACATCTAAAAAACTCCTCTAGAAACCCACTAGTCTTGGGTTTTTGTTTCCTGCCAAACAACATTGATTACAGTCTATGTGTGCATGGACGCATAGAATAACATGCTGGGGGATTTATTAGCTGTAGAAAAAAACGTCCAAAGCGAAAAACAGTCGCTGTAAAAAACATCCAGTGTGCATGAGGACTTCTAGATGCTTGAACAATGACCATATCATTAAGTCTTACATACGAAACCATGAAAGCCAGTATTACAATCCTTTCAACATTTAAATATTGAACTGAAATGGGCTGATTCTATATTCTAGATTCTATTCTGAAGAAAAGAAAATTAGTATGAAATGCTTGTTGCCCACAGCAACTAATCAGGATTCACCTTTTATTTCAACTGTGAATTGCATGCTAGCTTTTGTTCTCATTTTCTTCTCTTCAGTTTAGTGAATCAAAACTAAAAATGTCCTCTCACTGAAGATGAAAAATACATGCTCTAGAGAAAATGCTTGCTGGCCACAAACACTCAGATTTCTCTTAGATTGTAAGCTCTGAGGAGCAGGGCCCTCCTAACCCTCTTGTATTGAACTGTATTGTTGCGGTTTTGTCTCTCTTTATATTGTAAAGCGCTGAGGAAACTGTTGGCGCTATATAAATCCTGTATAATAATAATAATAATAATAATTCAGACTTTGTTGGAGATCTGATATCAGAACAACCAAACCTGCCAAGTACACTTGCATTGCACCAAGACTTTTTTT